CTCCCCCTGACAGCTGGGACTGACCAGCTATATCTTCGCACGCAAGGAAGTGAGTCCTCACCCTCCCTGACCGCTGGGACCCACCCGATCAAAGCGTATGTAGTGTTGTCTGTCTGGTCGCGAACGTGTACGTACATACTGGTCGATCGGTCTCTTTGCAAGTATGAATTGTGCCCGAGTAAGTAGCGGCACGTGTAGTTGTAGAGCACCCGACATAGCAGTTCATGCAGCCCCGTCTAAGTCTTGTACACGTACGTACAACCACAGGGCAAAAAATATGGTCACGTATGTACATACGGGTGGGGTCTCGAGCGCGTACTCGCGCATATATACGGACGGCCAAGGCTTGTGTACATGGAGAGGCAACGGATGGCAGCAACGGCATCCTTCTCATCAGGCAGCGAACCGGCTGGGAAGGAACGGAGAAACAACGTCCTGTTCATCGGGAGGCAACCGGCTGGGTCAGAATGCGTCCTGTTCAACGGGAGCTAACCGGCTTGAACAGAACAGCCGAAACAGGGTCTGGCGTACCACAGAATGGAGGAAACGGCCTTCTGTTCGACCGGCCATGGTCGAAATGGGATCTTGTTCATCGGGAGGGGTCTGGCGTACCGCAAAACGGAGGAAATGGACTTGTGTTCGAGCGCCTACGGTCGAAATGGGGTCCTATTGATCGGGAGAGGTGTGGCGTACCGCAAAACGGAGGAAACAGACTTGTGTTGGAGCGCCTACGGTCGAAACAGTGTCTTGTTCATCCACTGTCTACTGCCTCGCTCTAGCCTCCACGGGCTACTGTTCATCCACCGTCGACCTCCTCCAGCCTCCACAAGCAACTGTTCATCCATGGCTACTGTTCATCCAGCCTCCACTGGCTTCGGTTCATAGAGCCTCCACGGGGTCCTGTTCATCCAACGACAATGGCCTACTACCACGGGGTCCTCTTCATCCAACCCCCACCGGGAACTGTTCATCCACAGCCAACCAACCAGCTCGACTCACCATGTCTCGACTCGTTCTACGTACCATGCGCACAGTAGCAACGGTCACTATTCATCGAGAGGCAACCCAACACCGGCTGGCTACGTCTTGCACGGGGGCTCGATCGGCTTCAGTAAGTAGCAAGAGTGATCGATCGCTCGGTTTCAGTTAGCAGCAGCAGCGAAGGAATTGCTCGGGTTCAGTCAGCAGCGAATGAATCGCTTGGGCTCAGTTAACAGCCAAGGGATTGATCGCTCGGGTTAAGTAACATGCAATCGCTCGGGTTCAATTAGCCAACGCCACGCACACACACGCATACACGAGAGAAACGTGCAAACCACTGTGCATCGCTTGGCCCCGACCACCCACCATTACCGGAACTCCGTGATATTTTCCTCGTCCTCGCTTCTACCATAATTTTTTCCATCATGCACGGCCCAAAGAATGTCATGCAGCTGCGTCTCTGGCCTCCCCAGGACAAAAGCCCATTTTCTGTTATGATTTTTTGTCATAGAAGTAGGAGCCCACCACATCTATGATGATATCGGGTTTTGTAACAATTATCGTCATAGAAGTGTCATAAGCATGACAGAAAAAATTTGTTCGGCCCAAAATGTCACGGATGTGTCTTTTTTTGTAGTGTATAATGCTACTGCCGTACTAAGCAAAATAAGATGCATAAAAGATACACATCACATGCAATCAAAATATGTGACATGATATGGCCATCATCATCTTGTGCTTTTGATCTCCATCTCCAAAGCATCGTCATGATGTTCATCACCACCGGCTCGACACCTTGATCTCCATCGTTGCGTCGTGGTCGTCTCGCCAACTATTGGTTCTACAACCAGCGCTAACGTATAGTGATAAAGTAAAGCAATTACACTGTGTTTGCATTTCATACAATAAAGAGACAACCATAAGGCTCCCGTTGGTTGCCGATAACTTTTACAAAACATGATCATCTCTTACAATAACATATATCACATCATGTCTTGACCATATCACATCACAACATGCCCTGCAAAAACAAGTTAGACGTCCTCTACTTTGTTGTTGCAGGTTTCACGTGACTGCTACGGGCTTCTAGCAAGAACCGTTCTTACCTACGCATCAAACTACAACGGTGATTCGTCAAGTTTGTTGTTTTAACCTTCTTCAAGGACCGGCCGTAGTCAAATTAGATTCAACTAAAGTAGGAGAAACAGACACCCGCCAGCCACCTTTATGCAAAACTAGTTGCATGTATGTCGGTGGAACCGGTGTCATGTGCATGGACATGTAAGGTTGGTCCAAGCCGCATCATCCCACAATACCGTCGAATCAAAATAAGACACTGGTGGTAAGCAGTATGACTATCACCGCCCACAACTCTTTGTGTTCTACTCGTGCATATCATTTATGCATAGATCTGGCTCTGATACCACTATTGGGAAACATTGCATGGAAAACAAAAAAAAATCTATGCACACGCAATGATCTATCCATGGAGATGCATAGCAACAAGGGGGAGAGTGTGTCTAAGTACCCTTGTAGACTGTAAGCGGAAGTGTACCTCAACGCGGTTGATGTAGTCGAACTTCTTCGCTCTTCAACCGATCAAGTACCGAACGCACGACACCTTCGCGTTTTGCACACGTTCAGCTCGGTGACGTCCCTCGCCTTCTTGATCCAGCAAGTTGTTGAGGTAGTAGATGAGTTCCGTCAACACGACGGCGTGGTAATGGATGGTGAAGTGATCCTCGCAGGGCTTCGCCTAAGCACTACGAAGATATGACCGTGGGAGTAAACGGTGGAGGGGGCGCCGCACACGGCTAACAATTGTCTGGGGTGTGCTAGGGGGTGCCCCCACATATATATAGGTGGGAGGGAGAGGGGAGAGGCCAGGAGGCGCCCCAAGTAGGACCGAATCCTACTTGGTTCCTCCTAGGCCGGCACCCCCGCCCTCTTCCTTATTTACCAGAGGGGGAGGAAAGAGGAGGGAGGAGCGAAGGAAGGGGAGGCCGGATCCCCTCCTTTCCTTCTCCCTTCCCCTCTTTCCTTCTTTGGTTCGACCCATATGGGGGCGCACCAGCCCCTGGTGGCTGGTGTGTTTTCCCCTCTTGCCCATTAGGCCCATATCTTTTGCCGGGGGTGCCCGGAACCCCTTTCGACGACCCGATATGTACCCGGTACCCTCCGGAACACTTCCGGTGACCCGATATGTACCCGGTACCCTCCGGAACACTTCCGGTGACCCGATATGTACCCGGTACCCTCCGGAACACTTCCGGTGTTCGAATACTATCGTCCTATATATCAATCTTTACCTCTTGACCATTTAGAGACTCCTCGTCATGTCTGTGATCTCATCTGGGACTCCGAACAACATTCGGTCACCAAATCACATAACTCATATAATACAATATCGTCATCGAACGTTAAGCGTGCGGACCCTATGGGTTCGATAACTATGTACACATGACCGAGACACCTCTCCGATCAATAACCAATAGTGGAACCTGGATGCCCATATTGGCTCCTACATATTCTACGAAGATCTTTATTGGTCAAACCGTTATGACAACATACGTTATTCCCTATGTCTGTCGGTATGTTACTTGCCCAAGATTCGATCGTCGGTATCTTCATACCTAGTTCAATCTCATTACCAGCAAGCCTCTTTACTCATTTCATAATACATCACCTCATGACTAACTCCTTAGTCGTTTGCTTGCAAGCTTATGATGTGTATTATCGAGAGGGCCCAGAGATACCTCTCCAATACTCGGAGTGACAAATTCTAATCTCGATCTATGCCAACTCAACGAACACCTTTGGATATACCTGTAGAGCATCTTGATAATCACCCAGTTATGTTGTGACGTTTGATAGCACACAAGGCATTCCTCTAATATTTGGGAGTTGCATAATCTCATAGTCGAAGGAATATGTATTTGACATGAAGAAAGCAATAGCAATAAAACTGAACGATCATTATGCTAAGCTAACGGATGGGTCTTGTCCATCACATCATTCTCTTAATGATGTGATCTCGTTATAAAATGACAACTCATGTCCATGGTTAGGAAACCTTAACCATCTTTGATCAACGAGCCAGTCAAGTAGAGGCTCAATAGGGACATAGTGTTTGTCTATGTATTCACACATGTATTTAGGTTTCCGATCAATACAATTCTAGCATGAATAATAAACATTTATCATGAATAAGGAAATATAAAATAACAACTTTATTATTGCCTCTAGGTTATATTTCCTTCACCTCCTTCTTCTGGACATCCAGAAGTCCTTTAACTGGCGGGTCATTCCCCAATCCCCGAAAGTTCCATATGAAAACCTTCATTGGGCGGTGCAAGACTGCTCTGCAGCCCACCCTCATTGGTTTGTTTCATGTCATTAACGTGTTCCCCTTCTCCCTGTCATGCCTTCTTATGCAATCCGTCATCCTACTCGTCCACCTCCATCTCAACATTATCTCTTTTACCTCCTACCTTCACTCCTAATTTGACATCACTCCCAGTCACCTCCCAGCTACGCCTATGGAAACTCCTTTGCCCATCTTCCTTATTAGCTCCCTTTCCTCTGTTGCTATTCTTTCCAGAACCGATGCCCTTATTTTTGTTATGGACGTTCAAGCTACCAAGCACTATTGGGTCCATAACAGTAGGCTTCACACCAATAACTATTTTGTCAGGGTCATCCTACTCCGCCTCCTTGCCTAGCCCATCCAAACCAGAAATTGCAACGCCTCCCTTTTTGTTATTACTTGCAATTGTAACAACAGCTACGACCTGGGTAGTTACATTATTTTCCTTGTTTACCAAGTTATCAGACTTCTTATACCCATCACCATCCTTTCTCCATGACAGCCTATCACTCCCTAAGGATCTAGTCCTATCTCCAAAACCATACCCCAAACTCCTGCTACTACTGCCCACACTCCTCGAACTGGACCATGATGGTCCATCTTCTTCAACTCGTCTACTCGGCATCAGTGCCTTCATCCATCTACCATACTACTAGATCTCGCCCCTTGCCAATTTGGTGGAACATAACTTGTCCACGTGACCTATGATTCTACATGTGTAACAAAAATCTGGCAAATATTCATACTCTAGAGGACATAGCTTCTGATCATCTCTCTTCTTTTTATCCTTGTCCACTTCCATCTCTATATAGGTACCCCTAGCTTTTTCCTTCTCCCTCTTAATGTCCAACGTAACACCCCGTAGGAGAGGCATGGATATGTCCAGTTTCACCTTCACTCTTAGAAAGCTACCTATTGCCGAATCATCCTCTCCAATCTCCACCTCCAGCGTATCACCAATTTGGTTACCAATACTTTCTCCATTCTCCTCATTCATCAGACCTAGTGGCATTTTCATGACTCTGGCCCAGGTCGGAATATACTTGAATTCATACTCTTCGATAGTCTTCAGCGGGTCAAAATCCTCCAAAACTATCAGATCCTTCCCCACCATCCAAGGGACATTCCCAGGCACTTTTCTTTTACCTGAAGCATGCAGAAAAGTGAATAGAAACACATTTTCACCCAGATCCTTGCACTTTATCCCTTTTAGCGGACACCAGGCTCTCCCGAGGGATTTGATCATGCCTTCAACATAAACTGGCTTCTCCGCCAACACCTTACCCATGGCTTGGGGGTCTGCAGCCGTCCCCTTCCCCCCTTCCCCTCTTCCAATCCTCACTCCCTTCGTCTCCGCCTCCGAAAGGTTCAACTTCTGCAGTAATCCTTCCACCTTCTCCATGGCCTACACCTTAACCCCTTGAAACAATGCAACTAGTGGCTTGGTGGTGAGCTCAGTTCCTCGGATCACAACACTTGGAAATGTCGTCGGAGATTGCCTTAGTCCAAAAGGAGACCAAGGTTTAGGGTTTCGCTGTCGCCGCCCCCAATCGCCTTGGAATCGCCAGAGCGCAAAATACGGAACTGTCACACACGGGACAGACAATCTCTTCTTAATTTGCCCTAGTCAATGTTTGACCTACTAAGGTGGGAGGGGTCCCACTGGTCTGCCTCAAACCTCCTTCTTGCTCCTCGAATTTCTCTCTTTCCTTCCCCTTCTCGCCAGATCCACCGGCGGCTGGAGGCCGAGCTCAAGCAGGCGGACGCGAGGGTTAAGCCCGCCCGCATGCCCCGCCCTGCCCGCGACTGGGTGCCTGGATCCGGACATGACAGTCAAGCCCACCCCACGCCCACCGACAATCCCGCGGTTGCAGCTCCGCCGCCCCGCACCCGTAGACAAGCTTTTATTGTAGTGCCGCTGCCCCGCGACATCACCCTTGCCTCGTTTCCCCTGAAGCGCGTCGCCGCTCTGTCATCGCCGTGGAGCTCCGGCTCGTCCAACCCACCGCCGACCCAATTTCCGGCTCCAGCGCCATTGGCTCCAGCCGCCGTTGACTGTGGAGGAAGAGAAAATGCGTGAAAATAGATGAGGGGCAGACTGCTGGGGCCATCTTCCACCTCAGCGTATTGTCCATGTAGGCATGCCAAATCAGCCTGACGTGTGGGGCCAACTGGCCAGTTCCCGAATTTGTATGATTTGTTGCTCACTTGCCGCGGAAGGGGTGGTTTTTTGTGTTTTTTTGACAAAAACGGTGACAATCCGTTATCCTAGCCACAAATGTGGTGATTTTCAGCAATCAACTCTGTTCTTTGTGGCAGTGCCATAGGCTAGAGAGGCATGTGTTTTCGTGCAGATGATTATTCAAATATGACGAGTTTATGTTATTGTGTCATGTTGCTTTTTCTTTGTGGAGTTCAAATATTTCATCTACATTATGGCAATTTTGTGGTTCGACAACTTGCACTTCTACAGAATCATCCCTGGTCCAAGTACGACTTCCCATCTTTTGGATAGGCAATTCAATAATGCTATTCCCATCTAACTGCAGTCTTGATGGTATTTTTGTTTTGCATGGGAAACTTCTAATATATTTATTTTCAATCATAGCAATTCAAAGAACACCAAAGATAATAAAAATTACAACTAGGTTCGTGAACCACTTAACAACACCACTTAACAACGACTACAATCATTGGAGTGAGCCAAAGGCGTACCGCCATCATCGCCCCTCCCTTGCTGGAGTCAGGCCAACCTTGTTGTAGTAGGGGAAGCCTCCAGGATATTTTATTGTATCTCTTAGCTGTAGAAGTTACTTTGTAATTAAATTTCGTGGATCATGGATCCAAAGCTGTGTACCTGCAATGGTTGTGAGCATGAATAAAATCATGTGTGTTTCTAGAGAAAAAAGTCCCTTTCTCAAGATTGTGTAGAACCCTCCCAGTTTATGTAACATACTAGTACATTTTTAACATAACACTGATTTTATTTCTAGAACCTTTATTATGTACACTTGCTAAAAATGAATAATGTACACCTACAGATACAAGAATGCTACAGGAGACAATGGGTTACAAATATGCTCCTCAGGGGTCAGACGTACGGTTTGATCTAACGAAAAGTAAAGCCGACCCATTAACACCGCGAAGAACCATCAACCTTGAATCAATGTATGTACCGCAAACAATCTTTGACAGGTCGAACATCTCCGGTGGCGTCTGCGTACGGACCTCTTGCAGCACATTGCGTGCAGACTTGACGTTCAAAGTTGAGCCGCAACTCATGGACACGTCGACGTCGTCCTCATCCACGTTAACGCTAGCGGTGGGGAGGCTGGCTGGCAGCTCCTTCATCTTTGCGGCTTTTCCCCATTTACCACCAAGATATCTGGAAGATGTAATCCTACTACTACTCTCTTTACCATCCTCGGCATTGGTGTAAATCCTCCCAGGAGTTATCCTTGCCGATGTGGTAACTGACAGATTTCCTTCGGTTCCAGATTTGTCGTGGGGCCAGTCGGATTCCGGCATGATTTTGAAACCAATATCTGAGGTCAGAGATAAAATGGGATCCACAGATTCTGGGGCTTCGGCGAATGTGAGGAACGCATCGTTGATGAGGACTCTGGGGGTAGGCTGACGAAGTGTTAGACCGATGTGCCTTCCAGTGCAGTACAAGAGGCACCAGCGACCAGGTAGGAGGCGAAGCCAATTCTGAGCAAACAAAAGCAGAGAGGAATATATGAAATAAATGAAAATAGATTGATAGGACTTAAGTAGAACATCACATATACAAAATATATGATCTCTCGATATCCTTATACGGAGGACACACGCGCTCTGAATGTAACGGATATATCAAGTGAACTCATCACACGTACACCCTAACAATTGCTGTAATGAAGAAACCATAACGGCTTATCACCAAACTAGAAACTATCCCCCAGGTAAACAATTAGCTCAAAACAAAGTTCACCTTGCATGGTATTCATAATTATCAGGACTTGGAGCAGGAATAATTACCTCTGTACTTGAATTAGGGTTTAGCACCTCCATCAACTCAATGAAATATGCTAACCGTCTACGCTGTAAACATGGTAAAGGAAGCCTAATAAGTTAACTGGAGTTCCACCATACTTCTTCATACAAGTAACAAACAAATGATAGCTTTCAGTAAAAATATCAGGTTCATTTTGGATTGACACTCGAGCATCTTGTGAACATTTGGATGGAGATGCAGCTTGAGTCATCCATTTTTTGCGAGAAAAATAATACCTGATGATGCCCATAAATATAATCTTCAGCCAGGCGGACAGCAGTAGATCCCAAGCCCCAGCGTACGACATTCACTGTTGGACTTATACGCCATTTAGGTCCACAAAGGAAGGGGTGACGCAGTGCATCGACACAACTGTAAATTAAGTTGATACAGCAAAGTGAGAATCTAATGTAGATACAAACCTGTTTTAAATCTGCAACTTTAGCTTACCAACAGTAGGACTAGTCTTACCTTATCCTTTTGTCAGATTTTGTTGCCAGTAATAAGGCCAAAAGATTCCAGCCAGCACCCCAGTGCCTATCTAGCATCTAAAAAATAGCAAGAGTAAACCCCAGTATCATCAGACAACTTCAAGAAATAATATGCCGGCGGTAATACCGTAAATACAAATTCTTACCTGCAGACCAATATTCCCAGATGGAGAATTTTGGCTTAGAATCGGTACAAGGAACTCACGCAGACATGATGGATCATTTCCCTGCAATATGAGATACTGATCATGAAGTCATAGCTTTTTTAGTTCCACCATTGATATTTGTAGAAACTTACAGAGTTGAAATCGCTTGCAAAAACATGTGGTGTTAAATCTCAAACAGAACTAAACAGAGTATAAAATTAAGTCAGAGGACATCCACGATCTTGCAACAGAACACTTAGCAACATGAAATCTCCAATATTAATTAAACATTATGAAGTCCATGTTGGTATGCCCGACCGCCAGAAGGGAATGAGGCACTAGCTGCTTAGTTTGCACTCCCTCCGTTCCTAAATATAAATTTTTGTAGAGATTTCACTATGAACTACATACGGAGCAAAATGAGTGAATCTACACTCTAAAATGCATCTACATACATCCGTATGTGGTTCGTAGTGGAATCTCTTCAAATACTTATATTTAGGAACGGAGGGAGTATAGAATACCTTAAGGAACGACATGTCCTTGTCCTTGTGACTTCGTAATTATATAGCTATTTTGTCCTTTTATTTTTAACGAGAAATATGTGTATTCGACAAGAAGAAATGGGGGCCATGTTTTCATTAAATATGCCTTATTATTAGCTTAGGATGGTATTTCCCTAACTTCTTTCTTTATTTCGATGCAAATTTTACCAAATAGCAGCCTGAACGTTCAGGGTTAGAATGCAAAGTGCTAAACTATAATACAATGACGAACACAAATATTCGTGAGAACGAGGGAAAAGAATATGGCGGAAACGATAAAACTCAAAAGATGCACAAGACAAACCTTATTCAAGAATGACTTAAATTTTTGGAATGTCGATGAATCCATGAGCTCTCTCAAAACCATCTTTGCCATTATGAAGCCCACGCACCTAGAGAAAAAACAGTTTAATACTTTTTATCTTATACTAGTATATATGCGTACATATTAACTACTGTTAACTGTAAACAGAAGCTCTCAAACCTACCTCATGTCAAATGCTATCATCATTTTCCGCCTCTCATTGTTACTTGCTACTGCACTGTTGCTGGGGTCATTGTCATGAAAATCAACAGCATTCCCAAGAATACCAACCTAAAAAAGATGAAGAAAACACGAAATTGATCGGCCGTTTTAACTTTAGATGAAATGAAAGCTACAGAGCACTGGGACACAGAATGTGCAAACTTTGCAGGGTTTAATCACACATTACCTTTATGGTCTGGTTTGATTAAAATTTATTTTTTCAGATAGAACAAGGAGATCACTCCCTGGTTCCATCTCATCAGTGGAACCTGGGGTCAAGTTTTCAATTCAAATATTTTGTACCTTAACAAGACGAATACACATGTGGCAAGTGATACAAGTGCACTTATGTACACCGGCATGCTTAAAGAATGCAGCTCAAATGTCGTACTCAGTTATTTACATAAGGAATGGCTTGATCGGAACGCCTCACCTACTATTATCTGAGACAGCAGCTAATTCTTTTCATATGGATGATTCAGAAAAAGCACAGAGTAGGATGACATAGAGTACATTTGGTTCATTACCTAGCCTTGCTTAGCTAGGCTAGATTTTACTAGCCGATTCAAGCAAGGGCTCATAGGAGCAAAGCTGGGTGTTTGGTTGCAGGTTGTAACTCGTCCGAGAGCATATCGTAAAAAGGGGACCATGGGGCCGGTGCATCATGGACCACGACTCATAACATGGAAGTTAGCTACGGGTGCACGCACGATTCAGGTTGTTTTTTTGTGCTTGTTCGTTTGCCGGGGTGAGCGAGCCAAATGGGCTCTCCTTCGTGGGCAAGGATTTAGCGGCAGTTATGGGCTAAATTGCCATCAAAAGCCAGATTTACTTGTCCAAACCAAATGCCTAGCCTTGCCTAGCTAGGCTAGTTTACCTTTTGCCGTGGATCCAAACGAGCCCATAGTACTTTTGTCATCAATCAACACATAGAGGGAAAATATACTACAGAGTTGTCCTGAGCACGATCTCACTTATGTCAGCAAATCAAAATATGAATACACGGTTAAACGGAAATGATTAATACACGCTGATGCAAAATCATGATGAAACGGGAATGTTATGTTTAGTAGTTCAACTGTATTACATGAAACGGGCCAAATGACATTGATTTATTAATGTTCCCAGTAACCTAAGCATGATTGCAAGGACATAATACAACCACTTGTGTAAACAAGAATAAAAGGAAATGGTGCTTACTTTGACATGCTTGTCTACTGGGCTTACATGAACATTCTCCAGTCTAAGCTCAGTATGCGCCATTCCATGGCTATGCAGATAATTTACCTGCATAAAGTAAGACATATCTTCAGTCTAGATCAACTGGTAACTGAATAACATTAAAAAATCTTTAACTTTTGAAGCTTACACCAATCAGAAGGTCTCTCATCAATATCCTGATTAAACGCAGCTGCCGAGTTACAGCAGGCCCTCCAACCGAATCATCTCCTACCCTCCTTACTTGTTCTTCATCCAATGCTAATGTTGCTTCCAAGGTTGGAAGCCAATCCGAGAGTTGCAACCAGTGACGCAAGGAGTAACTCCCATGGTACTGCATTAACATTTTTTTATTGTAAAATAACGATTATACCAGCACATAGCTCAATCCAGCAAGAACAAACAAACCTAAAGTAGCAATTACATCTAGACTAGAAACACCCCTAAGGCCTTCTTTGGTTCATAGGATAGAAATTTTATAGGAATAGGAAAATCATAGGAAGTGAGATGACATGCATCTCAATTCCTATAGAGGAAGAGATGTTATTTGGTGCATAGGATAGGAATTTTTCCATTGAGTCTAGGCTAATGTTTTTTTTCCTCCAAAATGTGAAGGATTGAATCCTATCCTACATAGGAATAGGAATCCATTCCTACAAACCAAAGGGCTTCAAAGGAATTTTTCCTTTGCAAATCCTATCGTATAGAATTCCTATAAAATTCCTACAAACCAAAGGAGGCCTAAACGGCTAAACCCAGGCAGGCCCTGACATGAATATGAGATCATGAAAAATGATACTCCTACTTCCACATTTAACTTAAAACAAGATCAGCTCGAGGAAATTAAGGCAAAAGCTCTGACCCCGTGCACCAAGACAAGCGGACTATCACCCTCTTCCATGGCCTTGCTCGGAGTGACGTAGCCATGGACCTGCATCGCGTAAGAGTGGTACATCATCTGGCGACGGGCCAGCTTCTTCAGCACCTGTGATGACACGAACGAAACCCAATGGAGCTCAGCCAGATAGATCCCCATATATTCCAAACGCACTAAACAGCACCAGAATTTAACAGGAAAAAAAAACACCTCTAGCGCGCGGCGGCCCCTCCGCTTCGCCTGTGAGCTAGTCAGCTGCCGCAACACCACCGTCGACCCGTACAGCTCACTGAATTAAAAAAAAAGGTAATGATTGTGGGTTCAAAGAATTCGTACTTTCCAGTGTGTTACATGCCGCTGACCGACCTGCTAGGATCGCGCACCGTGGCCTCGAATATCATCTCATCGGACTGTAGTAGAAAAGGCAAATCGCCGACTATTAGCAACAAGGGAGAAGCGCGACCGAATTAGCGCGTGGGGGAGTGAATCAGTGGGGGCTAAACACCGACCCGTCCGTGGAGCCCGACGCTGACGCGGTCGGCGACAGTGAAGTCGGCCATGTCGAACCTGACCACGGGGCACGGCCCCGCAGCGGCCCCATCGTCCGCTGTCGCCGGCGCGGGCGCCGGCGTGGAGGCCGACAAGCTCGCCTCCAGCCGGAACCGCGGACGGCGGCACGGATGCGCGGAGGCGCGGCATAACGGTCGGGGCAAGCCGGCCGGGGAGGGGCGCGAGGCGGCGACGGCGGCGGCCGCGAGAGCCATGGTTCCGTTGCGGTGGAGGAGGGAGGGGCCGGGGTTGGGGGAGTGGACTGATGGAGGGAGGGGCGCGTTAAGACTTAAGAAGAGGAGGAGGCGCGAGGCGGTTGCGTGCGGGGAAGCGGCGCGGGCGTACAGCCATGAGCTCGGCGCGCGCTCTCCTCACCCCGCGCCGCGGCAGCGACCGTGCGGCGGCACCGGGCGTGCGATCTTTTTGGGCATGGTGCACCAGCTCGGCCGTGCGCCGGTGTTGACCGCTTCTGCCACTTGGGCAGTGATGAGACGGAGTATTCTCCAGGTAGTGGTCCACCGGTGAGTGTGTAGCCACAATGGAGAGTAACGGGCTGTTTGGTTTCATTAAGTCACCTGACTTATAACGGCCAGTTTTTTTTGGTGGTTTCCAGAATAAGCTGCAATAAGCTGCCCCCTACCTAGCTTATTTTAAAAGCTGAACCAAATTTATTTTTTTAGAAGTCTAGTAGTTAAGACTTGACTAGTAGGCTTTTAAAAAGAAAATTTTGGTTGAGCTTCTAGAATAAGCTGGGTAGGGGGCAGCTTATTCTGGAAGCCCAAAAAAGCTAGCAAAAGAACTGGAAGTCAGGTGACTTAGGGCCCGTTCGAAAGTGCTCCGCCTCCGCGCTTCTCCAGAAGCGGGCAAGAAGCTGGCCGAACGCAACGGCTCCTAGAATCTAGCTCCTGGAGAAACCGAACGGGGCAGTGCAATTTTCTGGAGCGGCTGTCGCGCAGCTTCGCGGAAACGAGGAGTAGGAGTTGGTCGTTATTACATGAGAGATGCCCTTTCGAAGTGCTAGTCGAACCGTTTTCTCTCGCTAATTACATTGATATTGCCTTTCCGAAGAGCCGTAGCGAGAGAAAACGCTTCGCTGCTGCCGAACGCTCGCTGGGCGCCACGAGAAGCTGGCTACTAGAGAAGCTGGCTCTTGGAGAAGCCAACAGACTTCCGAACGGGGCCTTAAAACCAGTGACTTATAAGTCATGCCTGTTTGGTTGTCACCTGACTTATAAGTCATCTGAGCACACCTTCTCACCTTGTTTTTTTATGTAAATGTTGTGGGACTCATGTAAAAGGGGGTGACTTATAAGTTTTAAGTTGGGGTGGAGCAACTTATGACTTATAAGTTGGGGTGACTTATAAGTTACTCCCTCCGTTCGGAATTACTTGTCTCGGATATGGATGTATCTAGAACTAAAATACATCTAGATACATTCATTTCTGCGACAAGTAATTCCGAACGGAGGGAGTAGGTCCGTTTGACAAAATAAGTCACTTTTACACTTTTCAACTTATAAGTTGGTGACTTATTTGGAACCAAACAGGGCCTAACATACACTAGTAACATACACGTATTCGTAGACTATGTTACTACCTTCATAGTGGGTAGTAATATAAGTGTGGTAACATGCATAGCTTCATTTATTAATGAGGAGAGAGGTAGTAGTAGTAACTTAGCGAAGCTATGCATGTTACCACACTTATGTTACTACCCACTATGAAGGTAGTAACATAGTCTACGAGTACGTGTATGTTACTAGTGTATGTACTGTAATATAAGTCTATAGCCTAATAAATGAAGCTATGCATGTTACCACACTTATGTTACTACCCACTATGAATGTAGTAACATAGTCTAGGAATACGTGTATGTTACTAGTATATGTTACTCTTCATTGTGGCTAGTCTTAGACTGGTCATAGTGGGAGTAACTTAGCTAGTAACATAACGTTTTTCAAGACAGTTTGCTTATGTGGCATGTAGTTAATGAGGAGAGAGGTGTTTGGAGTAACATAATATGTTACTGTAACATAACGGAACCCAAAGCAGAATGAGTCTGCAATATAATAAATGCAATCATCTATGACACTATTTCTATGTTATTTTGCATTATGAAGATAGTAATATAGAGTAGTGTCATATGCATGACACTAGTCTAAGTTACTCCCAACTATGACTAGCCTTAGACTAGTTACAACGGGGAATAACTTAGACTAGTAACATCACATTTTACTAGGCTATGTTACTACCTCCACAATGGGTAGTAACATATGTGTGGTGTCATGTCATGATTCATTTATTAGTCTATCGACTCATATTGTCTTGATATATGTGATGTTATAGTAACTAGCTAAGTTACCACCATCACTTCTCTCATTATTAAGTATGTGCCACATAAGCAAAATTATCTTGAAAAATGTGATGTTACTAGTGATGTTACTCCCACTATGGCCAGCCTTAGTTACTGCCGTTCTGTGCAGTTGGCCCTCCCCGTCATGAATAAGGTTGCGGTCATATGCGCGGTCGCATGCCTCCTCCTCGACGAAAGGTTTGGTGACAGAGCAAACGACGACCTATCATGCGATCGGTGGAGATCGTATGAGCGATTGCATGAGTATATCATAGTAACAGGTCAGAAAAGAAAAGATAAAAGACTTTATTACAACGAATTTTTCCTGATTTTGTTTTGATTTCTTTTTAACTAACTCTATATTTATTCTCGTGATTACCAGGGACTAAACCTTTATAAAGAGGGAAGGGGCACGTCTTTAAGCCCCAAAACCATCTAATCTCACATCCTCTTTGTCGGTGTGAAATCCGGCAGACCTCGGGATAGGGGGTCCCGAGCTGTGGATCTCGGATCGATGGTAACAGGAACAAGAGAGACGATGTTTATCCAGGTTCAGGCCCCTTAAGGAGGTAAAACCCTACGTCCTCCTCTTGTTTATGTCGATGGAGATGTATTAAGTACAGAGTTGGTCTACCTCGAGATCATAGGGGCCGAAGTACCAGCCCGCCGTCAAGGCACGGGAGGCAAGCAAACGGGCTCGAGCCATGTCTCAATTTGAGGAGCCTCCCTACACTCAATGTAAATAGGGACACGCACCCCACATCACTCCCACCCTAGTCGCACAATAGGTGCCTCGTATGCACCACTTCGCGCTTAAAATACCATGGGCAACTGTGGGGGCAACCACCTAACAACCAAGTGTCCGGTTCAACCGAGCTATGGTCAAACACGTCTCCAGACAGTAATAGGTATCATCTAGGACCTATTCGGCATCAAGCTGGCACAGTACGACGACTTCTCAAGACCCTCTCTCAAGGGCTTGTCAGCCGAATATCATCCCCTCCAAGGAGTTCTTCCTTCCCTAAAGAGCAAAGGTGCAGACGTGCAGCAGGGCATAATAGGGACGTCAAACCGCATATTAAGGCCATGTGTAAACCTTTTCTTTGTAAAATTTATCTTTTTTATGAAGTATCTATAATAGTTGCTTCGGCAGTTCGAATTGTACGGCTAGATGTCATGAGTTCATCCGAATAAAGACCACTCTTTACGGTCCTCTTACAGTCATTTATGTCGCATAACCCTTCCTACTCTTCGACGCCGAAACAAACTAGTTCGGTACACATCTTCTTTAGATGTGATCGACTAATAAATCGGGGGCTCGATTATAAAACTTGACCCAAGCATCAGTCCGGCACTATCTTTTCTCCTAAGTGTTCAGCATCTCGGATATTACATTATATGAATCGGTTCCGAATTATGTCTTGGGTTAGTAGTTGGGTTGCCCGACTCCTGTGTTTACCATCTTACGTTCCGTTCGGCTAGGAGGGTAAAGGGAGAACCATGGCAACTATACTTCCAGCTCGCCTGGTTAAGTACCTTAGTGGAGAAAGCTGAAAACTGACCATCATAATAGGCTAGAACTGTTCGGCGATCCAATGACAAGTGTTAAACTATAAATCATTGGAGAATACACCATGTTATACGAAGGGTTTGTCTTCGCACAACCATGTGATGAAGGTATATACCTTGGCTCACCCGAACGTCACAAAACACCGGGGGCTGGTTACTAGTCCCCACAGTCAAGCTCCTATGGCTAAGTGAAAGCACTAAAACCGCATAGTCTGATTGCCTTGTTTCCCTCACACACTACCGCCTTCGAGTACCGAGACGTCAGCTAAGGGTTACAATGCAGAGGTCGAAACACCCTGAGGGAGTCCTGGATTAGGGGGTCTTCGGATAGCCGGATTATATTCTTTGGCCGGACTGTTAGACTATGAAGATACAAGATTGAAGACTTCGTCTCGTGTCCGGATGGGACTCTACTTGGCGTGGAAGGCAAGCTAGGCAATATGGATATGGATATCTCCTCCTTTGTAACCGACCTTGTGTAACCCTAACCCTCTTCGATGTCTATATAAATCGAAGGGTTTTAGTCTGTAGAACAACAATCACAACATACAATCATACCATAGGCCAGCTTCTAGGGTTTAGCCTCTCTGATCTCGTGGTAGATCTACTCTTGTACTACCCATATCATCAATATTAATCAAGCAGGACATAGAGTTTTACCTCCATCAAGAGGGCCCGAACCTGGGTAAAACATCGTGTCCCCTGCCTCCTGTTACCATCCGGCCTATACGCACAGTTCGGGACCCCCTACCCGAGATCCTCCGGTTTTGACACCGACATTGGTGCTTTCATTGAGAGTTCCGCTATGCCATCGCCACCAGGAAGGATGTCTCATCCCGTCTTTAAAGACGGCACTATTGCTGAGGGAGCTTTGGCTATCGGCCAAACTCTCCGGCTAGGTGGTTTTCTTATGACCGCCTGTTCGGCCACTGTGCCGACGATGACTTCTTGGGTCATCGAAAGCAATCTTCATGTCAACTCGGAACTCGTCGAGCAGTTAGATCCAATGGAGCTCTCTTCCCTGAACGAGCTCTTGGATCGCATCGCCGCCCTGGGAGTCGCTACAAACTACGATCAGATTGGGCCTAA